CTTAAATTTGACATCAATTAATATTCATATTATAATTGCTGATATTCAGCAGTAACCTCAAAATAGTCCTTTTCAGGACTACAAAATCTTATTCCAACAAAGAAAAATTAAATTTTGATTACAATTTCTACTTTCTAGCTGCATTTTCTGTTTAATAAATAAATATTCTGTGATATTATCACTAAATATACGATTTTTGATTTCTGAATGCTATGCTTATGAATCTACATTTAAAATCATCAACCTAAAATGCAGCTACCCTAATATGCAGATAGTACTGCCAAGATGCAGATGGTACTGCTAAAGTGCAGATGAAATTTATTTTCCCCTAAAATGCAGATGAAATGCTGTTGCTTTAAAAAAAGGTATAATGCAGATGATTTTTAACGTATAAAGTGCAGATAAAATGCTGCCCAAATGTAGATCGTATAATTTTATTAAAATGCATCATATTTGATGACTTTTTTTCTTGATACGTGTTAATAAAAAAAAATTCCATACAAATTTTCACCTTCAAGTGATTTAAAATCCCAAAAAAATCCCTATACAAAATGATTTAAATCATAAATCAAAAATAAATCACTTGGGAAAAATGATTTAAATCCCCTCCATGCTAATTACATCAAAATTTCGTGTAGCAAAGTAATTTAAAGTCATAAAGTTTGCAATGTTTTCAAAAATGCATTTTTGTATTCCTGAACTTTTTTAATAACAAAACTAGTGTATCGGGTAGAAACCCAATGCGGATATATTCGCACCGTACCATCAAAAGTCTTGGGAAAGATCAAGCTTAGCTCAGTATTAATTTGAAAGTATAAATCCTGACGAACCAGCTGAGCTGTGCTCAGCATATGTTTGGAGGTTTAAAGCTTAACGAGCATTCTTTAAAGTTTTTTAAAAACATTTTTCATCCAAAGTTTAATATTATAAAAATTATAGTAAACTTTTGTTTTAAAAAATTCGTAAGAAAGGAAAGTTTTTTGCTTTTTCTGAAGCAACGACTATTCCTACCTTGCCCAAAAACTATACAGCTATTCTATAGAGCAGCACGGATCAAATGTAAAAAACTAGAAGTCTCTACGATGTCTCGTTATTGAGATTTCTTGCTGATTAACTTTCATGCTTGTTTGCTTACAGAAAGCGTATTTTGCGATTTTCTCAATTTGAAATCTGTTTTTTGAAAATGATGTAAAATTTCAGGCACAAACTTTACTTCTGAGACTTTTTAAAACCAATTTTGCTTCGTTTTCTCACAAAATGCGAAAAACTGATGTTTGCATCTGAACAAAACCAATAGATTCACACGTGAAAACGGTGTGAATTTCAAAAATACATTTGTAGATATATCAATGAAAGCTGACAAAGTTTTAACAAAATTCACAAAAAATATTCGTGAGTGACGCTTAATTAAATTGATTTTCTGACATAACGCCTTAACTTTAGGAAATAAGTTCTATGTCAAAAGAAAGAAATTTTTGTTTTTTACAAGATATAATAACTTTGAAATTTGTCACTATTGTGGTTTCGGAGATATTTAAGAAACCAAAGCATCACTCACGAATAATTTTTTTTTTCGTAGGGGCCCAAAAAATTAATATCCAAGGTTAAATTATCTGCATTATAACAGCATTTCATCTTTATTTTAGTAAAATTATACGATCTACATTTGGGCAGCATTTTATCTGCACTTTATACGATAAAAATCATCTGCATTATACCTTTTTTAAAGCAACAGCATTTCATCTGCATTTTAGGGGAAAATAAATTTCATCTGCACTTTAGCAGTACCATCTGCATATTAGGGTAGCTGCATTTTAGGGATTTCTAGATTGAGGTAACGAATTTCTGTGTTATAATAGAAATGACGCCGTTTAAAATGCAATAATGGCGTCATTTTGAAAGAGTTTACAGGTAAGCTTTATAGAATGATTTTTATTGGACTAGAATATTCTAAGCTACGAGAAAAGTATTGTTGAGATCATAAAATTGAATAAAAAATTTCTTCTTTTCATGTTAATATTTTTGGTGGTCTTGAAAAAGACCGTTCTAATGAAATATGAATGCTTGTTGTTGATGATGATGGAAATTAAGCTCGTTCACCACGAATACGACGTGCAAGTTGGATATCCTTTGGCATAATTGTGACACGCTTGGCATGGATGGCACACAAGTTTGTATCTTCGAATAATCCGACGAGGTAAGCTTCAGATGCTTCTTGTAAAGCCATAACTGCTGATGATTGGAAACGTAAGTCAGTCTTGAAATCCTGAGCGATTTCACGAACAAGACGTTGGAATGGCAATTTACGGATCAACAATTCAGTCGATTTCTGGTAACGACGGATTTCACGAAGAGCGACTGTACCTGGACGATAACGATGTGGCTTCTTAACTCCTCCAGTTGCTGGTGCTGATTTACGTGCAGCTTTTGTGGCCAATTGTTTACGTGGTGCTTTTCCACCAGTTGATTTACGAGCTGTCTGCTTTGTACGAGCCATTTTAGTTTGATACTTTTACTGTTTTCAATTTGAAATACAAACGAGATATGATGCGAGAGCGAGAAATGAATCCCCTTTATATATGATTCTTATGGCGCGAATATATGTTTTTGTGGTGGGGAGAGACAAATTCAGGGGAAATGAGAAAAACTTGATAGTTTAACTGGATATTCTATAATTTAATTAATTAAATGTTTTGAAATATTTTCGTAAAGTTTTGTGTTGTTTCAAATTTTAAGAATTAGGTAAATTAAATTAATGAAACTTGACAAAACGGGATAAATTCAGATAAAAAGTGTGAGAGAGGGGAAGACGAGAGAATGTATATAAAGAGAGTGAATTTCATGTATTGGCATCATTCAAGTTTTACCGTTTCTCGTGTAAAGAAGTAAGAATACAATTTAAAAATACAAAATGACTGGACGAGGTAAAGGAGGCAAAGGTTTAGGAAAAGGAGGCGCAAAGCGTCATCGTAAAGTTCTTCGTGATAACATCCAAGGAATCACAAAACCAGCTATTCGTCGTTTAGCTCGTCGTGGTGGTGTCAAGCGTATCTCAGGCTTGATCTACGAAGAAACTCGTGGGGTCTTGAAAGTTTTCTTGGAAAATGTCATCCGTGATGCAGTCACATATACTGAACACGCTAAGAGAAAGACAGTTACAGCTATGGATGTTGTCTATGCATTGAAACGTCAAGGACGTACTCTCTATGGTTTCGGAGGTTAAATTTCTTACCATCATCATATACAAATTACATCAAAATGGTCTTTTTCAAGACCGCAATTTAAATTTATTAAGAAAATTATTTTTAACTTATTCCTCTTGCTACCTTACTTATAAGACTTTATAAAAGATTCCTAGCTCATGTACCTGAATGAAATAAATTATTATTATCTAATTCTTAGACTTATGATTTTAATTTTCAAAACTTCGTTTGAAAAATGTTGAAAATTGGCATCGACATAGATTTCTATATTTAGTAGGTTTATTAATTGTTATTATCTATAATTTTGAAGCTTTTGATTAATTATTTTAAATTTAAATCATGAAATAATATATTTTTAAGAAAAATGTTCTGTAAGTTATCAGGCAAGCATAATATTTCTTTTATATTGCAGCATATTGGATCCTTTTTATCTTTGTCTTATGTTTTTGGATGCTTACTTATGAGAAATTGAAATTAATTCTTACTTGTAGACCTTAAAACTAGATTTGTTTTCACACATTTTAAGGTAATTTGGTTCTGTTTGTACGATTATAAACCTGTTTTGTTATTAAATAAATCTTTAAACGTAAAATTAATTTTAGACTATGAATTTTTTAAAAATTAGTTTTTCTTCAGAAATTAAAATTGGTCGCCCTAAAAAGGACGGTTTATAGATGTTTGAATGTTGATTAATTAATTTAAGCTTTCTTTGATTCAGTCTTCTTTGGCAATAAGACAGCTTGGATGTTTGGTAAGACACCACCTTGTGCGATTGTGACTCCAGACAAAAGTTTGTTCAATTCTTCGTCATTACGGATTGCCAATTGCAAGTGACGTGGGATAATTCTTGTTTTCTTGTTGTCACGAGCAGCATTACCTGCTAATTCAAGAACTTCAGCAGCTAAGTATTCCATAACAGCAGCTAAATATACTGGAGCTCCAGCACCAACACGTTCACCATAGTTTCCTTTACGGAGAAGACGATGAATACGACCTACTGGGAATTGTAATCCAGCACGGCTTGAACGTGACTTTGCCTTTGCCTTAACTTTGCCTCCTTTACCACGGCCTGACATTTTTTTCAATAGTTTATTTGAATTGTTTAAACGAGAAGGTTTAAGAACCAAAGATGATTCGATACTGAGTTGGATATTGATAATGTGCAGGTATTTATACAAAAATTGTGAGCGGGAAACTATGAGAGGCGTGGCTTATGCTACATGGAGATAGAAAATGTATAAAGAGAGAAGAAAAAGTGGAGAGAGTCATCAGTTGTATTCTGAATTTCATTCAAAACACTTCATAAAAAATGGCACCACCAAAAACAAGCGGAAAAGCTGCAAAGAAAGCCGGAAAGGCCCAAAAAGCAATCTCTAAGGATGACAAGAAAAAGAGACGTCATAAGCGTAAGGAATCATACGCAATCTACATCTTCAAAGTCTTGAAACAAGTCCATCCAGACACTGGTGTTTCCTCAAAGGCAATGAGCATCATGAACAGTTTCGTCAATGATATCTTCGAACGTATTGCTGCTGAAGCCTCAAGATTGGCTCACTACAACAAACGCTCAACAATCACAAGTCGCGAGATCCAAACTGCTGTTCGTTTACTCTTACCTGGTGAATTGGCTAAGCACGCTGTCTCAGAAGGAACAAAAGCTGTCACCAAATACACATCATCCAAGTAAATTGCTTTCTATGCTGCATCGCAAATCCAAAATGGTCTTTTTCAAGACCGCAATTTAGATTTATAAAGAAATTTATTTTTAACTCATTTCTCAAAGTTCATTTTGAGTCAACTGGATTTAATATTTATTTCAGTTATAAGGGAATATAAAACGTCTTAATTAAAAAAGTTCTTAAAACTTACTTCAATCATCATTTTCATCAGAGTTTGAGTCACTGTAGTCGCAAAGAAGTGAAAGTCCCGACGGTTTGGTATTGCTTTTCTGCTCTACAATTACTTTTGATGTTTCATTCGAGTTATCTGTAGATGCTTCATTGCTAATGGTTACTGGATTCGATACTTTTAATGTAGTTGATGCTGCAGGTTCCTTTTTCTTGACGAGAACTAACGGTTTCTTAGTGTTAACTGATTTCTGAAGTTTAGGAGCAAAACTCTCAATTTTCGGTTTCTTCTTTGTTACTTCCACTTCATCCTTAACATCTTCAATAATTTCTTCAGTAACAACACGCTTTGAACCGCTTCCATTGCCTCGAAATTTGACAGTTTTAATATATTCTTCGTCTAATTTAGCTAGTCGCTCTTCTCGTTGCTGGACTGTTTCTTTTGGATTGTATTGATGTAGAAGAGCTTCATAGTCGATATTTTCGTGCCTTTGATTCAAGTCTTTTAGCTCTTCTAAGGATTCAAGCAGTTCAATTTCATTCCTTGATTGTTCTGTTCGGTTTTCTAAAAGTTTCATTGGATTATTGGCTTCTTCCTCTTTTGCTTCTTGTAATTCCCTTAATGCTTGCTCTTCAGCTAGCTTAAGTGCCATAAAATTACGAGTTGCGCCTGCTTCAATCTCATAATCTGTATTTTGTGGATCTGTCTTGAATGAAACTGAACGGGATCTTATTATTTAGAATGAATTGGTACAAATAAGTTAATTAAAGACTTACTTTCTTGTAGGCAACGCGTACATTTGATATAAAAGCGATAAATTCTGATTCCTAAATACGTCTCATTCTCAACATCTTCTTTTCGAGCATTAAACTTCTTTCCTTTGTAAATATATTCACCGCAAGTTGCACATCTCATATTAAACGGTGCCATCAATCGAACAGTGTATTGTCGCTAGAATAATAGTAATAAATTAAGTTGAATTAGAGATTTAATTGAGATTTCAGAATATTTTGTTTTACTTACATTTTTTGGTAGTTTACAACGAGGAATCTTCGATGGATCGAAATCCGGTGGATAGTACTTGTTTAAAACTTTTCTTTCAGACATTTTATATGCTTAGAAACTGCTTAAAAACTGGTTAATTATAGAAAATTTAACTTTGGGAATTATTTATCTAAGACACATAGCCTAGACACAATTTTTGTTTACATTGCACCGAATCACTTTTAATCCGGAATTTAAATTGAAAAAATTCGTTAAAAGATATCGTAAAACGTAAACAAAACGCACGTGTGTAAATTCTTACAAGTTTTATAAAATAATTAATTTAAAGGAATCTAATCGATTAAAGAGCTAATTAACAGTAAGAACCTCAAGATGAAGTTTGCATATAAGGTAATATCGAGGAAGCATTAAGTTTCATGAAAAGATTAAGCTTAAACTTGATTGTTTCTTTTAGTTCAACAATTTGCTTGGAACAGTTTATCGAAAAGGCAATTTAGTATTCAGTTCTGATGGAAATTCAGTCATTAGTCCCGTTGGAAATAGATTGACAATCTTTGACTTGAAGAAGTAAGTCGATCCATGAAATTATTTAATTTAATCTAATTTAATCTCCATCTTCTAGTAACAAAACCAGCACATTAGCAGTTCAAAGTAATTACAATTTTACAGCACTGGATGTGTCACCAAATGGATGTCTAATCGTAGCTTCAAATGAAAACGGAGAGACTTTTATGGTCAGCACGCTTAGTCAAACTGTAATTCATACTTACAAATTTCACCGAGAACCTAGTTTTATTAAGTTTAGTCCTGATGGAAAGTTATTTGGAATATGTATTGAGGAATGCGGTAAGTGTTGCTCTTGTGTAGCTAGATCATTGATTTTATGATCTCAAGATTTAATTTAAATCGCCAAATTAATCTCAAGATTTAATTTAAATCGTCAGTTTAATCGCAAGATTAATATAAATCGTCAGATTAATTTAAATCTTCAAGATCCAGTAGACGCAAAAAGTCACACAACTAACACCTTATTCAATTCTCATCCACAGTGTACATCTTCAGAACACCCGGTATCATAACTGGACAGTTTAATTCATTCATAATTGATAGAATCTTCAAAGACAGTCATGGAGAGAAAACTTACATAGATTGGTCATTTGATTCACGCTTCCTCATTGTCGGTTCCAAAGATAATTGTGCAAAAGTCTATTCTGTAAAACTGCTAGAAGATTTCAATTCAGTTATATTAAGCAGCCATTCAGACTCAATTATTGGATGTTTCTTTGAGGAAAATTCCTTAAATGCAATTGTCGTGAGTAGAAATGGTCAAATGACAAGGTGGGAATGCAGCATGAAGGCTGAAGATTTACATGAAATATATTTCGTAAAAGCGGAACCAGAAGAAAAGAAATTAAAGAATGACAGCTCTGACGAAGAAGATCAAATCGAGGAGAATCAAGCAGTCGGAAAAATTCAGGAAATCAACGATACAGGACGTGACAAGCAAGGTAAAATAATCACAGAAACAATAAAAGAAAGGAAATTCTTTTACAACAAAATTGTCAGACATTATTTAATGGATGAATTGAAAAAGGAAAATAAGAATGTAAAACTAACGTCAGCATGTTACCACAAAAAATTAAAGCTACTCGTTACTGCATACTCGTCAGGAGCTTTTTATCTTCATGAATTACCAGATGTGTCCATGATTCATTCACTTAACATATCTGAATATGCTATCGATACTGTGACATTTAATAATAATGGAGATTGGATTGGACTTGGCGTTTCAGGTGCTGGACAATTGCTTGTTTGGGAATGGCAGAGTGAGCAATATATTATGAAGCAGCAAGGACATAGCAATGTTATGAGTTCCTTAACATATTCATCAGATGGAAATTTCCTCGTTACTGGATCATATGATGGTAAAGTTAAAGTATGGAATGTCTCAAATGGTTTCTGTATATTGACATTTTCTGAGCACACAAGTGGCGTAACAGCTGTTGACTTTAGTAGAAATAAAAAGTTCTTCGTAAGTGCATCGTTAGATGGAACTGTAAGAGCATTCGATATGATACGATATAGAAATTTCAGGACATTAACAGCACCAAAACTAGTCCAATTTAGTTGCGTCTCAATCGACTATTCTGGTGAATTTGTTGCGGCTGGTGCGCAGGATGTCTTTGACATTTATTTATGGTCAATGAAAAATGGAAAATTATTAGAAGTACTGTCAGGACATGAAGCTCCAGTTATGACACTCGATTTTTCGCCAAGTTCAACGTCTACAACTCTCGTCTCTGGCGATTGGGAGAATGAAATTAAAATTTGGAATTGTCTTGAAAATTCAAGCGATCACGAGACTATGAACATGATGTCCGATGTCATTTGTATCGCATTTAAACCGAGTGGCGAGGAAGTTGCTGTAGCCACATTAAATTGTAATATAAGCATATTGGATATCAAGAATTCACAACAATTGTGCTCGATTGAATGTAAAAAGGATATTGGATATGGCATGTCAGATGGCGATGTCATAACATCAAAGAAGAACTTTGAATCGAAATATTTCTCGTCGATTGTTTACTCGTCGGACGGTGAATGTATTTTGGCTGGTGGAAAGAGTAAATTTGTATGCATTTATCATGTTAAGGAGGGATTATTGCTGAAGAAATTTGAAATTACACAAAATCTATGCCTTGATGGAATGTTGGTGAGTAAATTGTCTGTGACTAAATTTATTTATGCTGCTTACGTACTTTTACGTACTTTTCTTAGAAGACTTTTCGTGTATAATTCAATAACTTATTCAAACAATTCTATGCGCTGTGTAGGAGGTTCTTAAAATATTACAAAAGTCTTCGTGCTTTATCGAAAGACTTCAGCGCATTTTTGAAATATTGTATTTAATATAATTAACAATATTCAATTAAAGTGATTAGAACAACTTTTCCAATTAATCTTGCTAACGGCTTTTTAGCATTCAAATTTAAACGGTAGAAAAACTTCAAATTTCTGAACGCACTCATCACGTGTTATTTTGTATGAAATGGAAAAATCATTAATTATAGTATTAAGCCATTGTTTTAAGGTTTCTAATTAAACGTAGATGAAAAAGCTTGATGAGACTGAGCTGATAAAACAGACCCGAGTCCTCTACGATGTCTGGTATAGATCTCAGTACTAGATCATTATATAATTTTCAAATTTACGATAACCGTTAACTGTAAGATTCTTAAAACTGAAGTTCGAATTCCTGAAACTCGTTATTTCAAAAGGCATTCGTGAAATGCTTTATTAAGCTACATTTTAAAAAACAAGATCTCAAAAATGAGCTAATAAGCCAAAAGCTACTAATTTCTGATATTTTAATGTACATTAAATTGAACTTATTCCCAAATCAAAGCTTCATACGCAGCATAGACTAACTTTAACAGTCATTCCACAATCCATATTAATCACATCCAATTTTATTTATGATAATTTCCAATTAGGAATTCGTGAATCGTCGCAATATGACAGAATTTGGTAACTTAGCACTAATTGAAGAGCGTGACAAGCTTGAAGGTGGAAATATAAAGATCAAATTACCCGGAACGTTAAAGAACGACATTGCATCGAGAAATTTCAAGCCAGAAGTAGGAGTAAGTTGTTTACAATTCTCTCCAAACAATCAACAATGGGCAGCAGCCTCAACTGAAGGTCTCCTGATTTATTCACTCGATAAAGGCATAATTTTTGATCCGTTTCAAATGTCTGTGGAAGTGACGCCAAAAGCAACCAGAAATTTAATAGATGAGAAAGAATATTCAGGAGCTTTAATAATGGCACTAAAATTAAATGAACATCCACTCATACAAGAAATAATTGAACAAATTCCTCATGCTGAAATTGATTTAGTGCTTGATTCAATGCCTGAAATATTTGTTCATCGTACGGCAGAATTCATATCGAGAATGTTGAGCTCACAGCACATTGAATTCTATTTGAAGTGGACGTGCAGTCTGCTTACGAAATTTGGTCAGAAAAATGAATTAATAGACTCGCAAGTTCTTATAAATTTACATCAGAATTTAAGCAGAAAATACGAGAGCTTGAATAGAATGTGAGTTATACAGGCACTTAATCCGATTTTATGTTTTATTCATTTATATGCTGTATCTCTTTTTTTCTCTATCCGCAACAGATGTGATTTCAATAAATATACAATGCGAGTTATCAAAAAGATGTCACAAGGCAAAATTAATGAGGTAGAGAAGGATGACGATGAAATGATGTTAATTAACAACACAATCAATAAGGAAGATAATTATGTCAATTCTGATGAGTCTATGAGCGATATTGATGATGACACATCAGAAGAGTAGCTGAGCTATTAAATTTAAACGAAATAAATTCCAAAATTTAATTGAAATAAAGTTTATATTCGCTGAATTTGCTATAATTTTGGTTGTTTGGTAATTATGTTCTTTAAAGTATGATTTGAGATAATATTGTTGATCGTAGGAATCTTATTATTATTGAAAAGTTTCTTTTATTGTTTGTTATTTTGGATTAAGGAATAAACTAAAGCATAAGAGGTAAGTAATCAGTAGATTTTATATGTTGAGCTGTACTGTAGATATTAGTGTTAGAAATCAACCCTAGAAAGTGGGTTTGTGTAAATCGCCCTGATGCGAATAATTCATTTTCAACAGACTTATCGAAAATCTTGGGGGGTTAAAATAAGCACATTCGAAAAATTCAAATTCCAAGAAACCGTTCCAATTTTTATATTCACACCGTTTTCACGTGTGAATCTATTGGTTTTGTTCAGATTGAAAAATCAATTTTTCGCATTTTGTGAGGAAATTGAGCAAAATAGCTTAACATGTGCAAAAATGTTTTTTACATTTGATCCGTGCTGCTCTATAGAAGAGCTGTATTGTTTTTGGGTAAGGTAGGAACAGCCGTTGCTTCAGAAAAAGCAAAAAACTTTCCTTTCTTACGAATTTTTTGAAACAAAAGTTGACTGTGATTTTTATAAAATTCAACTTTGGATGAAAATTTTTTTAAAAAACTTTTAAAGAATGTTCGTTAAGCTTTAAACCTTCAAAATAGACTACAAAATAACTGAATGATCCTTCAAAGAACTACCACAAATCTTATAGGATTCCATTAGAGCTTTGGAGAGAGCTTTTTTGAACAATCTCTTTCCATCACTTCCATTGTCTCTCTTTCTAAAATGTTTAAACAAGCACTTCCAGTCTTTTTCTTAAATCTTAAAGATTGCTCTTTTAAGTTGTAAAACTCTTCCTGCAGCATGCATGCATATCTTTAGTTATTATTACAGTAATAATGTTAATTACAATGAATATTAATACATTTCTGCAATTTGATTCTCATTTAGCACTTCCCCGACTGCTAATTGCAATGATTTAAAAATTTATTTAATTTGATAAGCTTTCTGACATGGAAGAATTCACTGACTTTTTGTAAAAGATTAAATTATGCTGTACATCATATCACACGTAACGTAATAAGCCGCATCAATCCTCGTGTAGATCGTTCATAGAAATGATTTTTTGACGTTTATATTGTTGAGGCTTGATGTTATTATTTGAGCACACAAAACCCTCTCCTTTTTTTAATGGAAGCGATGTTTATGTATGGAACGTTATTGTCACTTACTTGAATATTTTCTTATGGATATGATGTGTAATTCCTATGTGGAATTTTACATTAAAGAATTATGCAAATGAAGTGCTGGATGATGGGAGCATAAAAAGGATTTTGTACTTAGCAATTTTCCTCGAATTTTATTTATTGTAATAAAAATTGTTTTTTTATTGAATTTGAGCAAATAATCTTGTAGGTTAAGTTGCTGGAGATAAAAGGATTTTTTGAAGAATTGTTAATGAGTTTAATACGTGTTGCTGAGTGTTGAGTTGTGGCACACTTTCAAGATTATGTGTTAATTGATGTCATGGAAGCTTGAAGCATCAAACAATTGAAATTTTAAGACTAAGAACAACCTTTGGAATGTTCAAAGAGGTTTTTAATGGAATTAAGAAGGAAATCAAATTTTAATCAAAGGGGTCGTTCACTTATGACGTCCGAAATTAACGGTCTTTTTTCAAAAAAGAACAATGGATTTCCAGGAATTTCTATTGTTCTTTTCTTGCTGACCCCCCGCCTCCCCTGGACGTAATAAGTGAACAGCCCCAAAGGTAAAACTTAAAATGTTCAAACTTCAAATTCTAATCAAAAGTTAAAATTTAACTGAACTTTTGTTCTGTGTTTACGCGGAAGATGGTGAATCATATCCAAAAAGCGACTCAAAAGAGAAACTTGTAGGTGCTTTTTATGTCTGGTCATTCGACGAGATTGAAGAAGAATTTGCAAGAAATTCTAATTTTAAAATACTTTCTAAAAATATTAGACGTTACTGTTATTTTTAAGTATAATTCGCGGTATATCAAAGTCCTATTCATGCTTAAAACCTCATTCATTACTTGACTTTTTCATCCATTCCATAGAAACCTTTGACATTTTCATAATATTAACAATTTTTTCTGCTTTTTTTTCAGTCAGTATTTAAATCAATCTAGGAATTCGTTAGCATTTCCATTTTTGTGCGCGTCACACGACAGTAAATGACAAGTGATAAGAGAAGTAATTAAGGCACAGAATTAATGACAGCGTTGAACTCAAAGGTATTTAATTCACGTTCATTTCAATTTAAATAATTATATCCAACTCACGAATCATTTAAAATATGGAAAGGAACATGCGAAAAGTAATATTTATTCATTTGGGGAACCTGAAAATTTAATTAATTAGCACATATTATTATGATTGGGGTGTCATGTGTGGATCATGCACAGGAAGGAATACAAAATTAACATTTTCACATCAAAGCGGGAAATAAATTAAATTTATGTCAATATTGACACTTTTGGAATTAATTGGATAGGGAAAAGGATTGATTTTCTTGGATAACCGTCTCGTACACAAGAGCTGAACCTTTTCATCTTCGATTTAATTTTCCAGAAGATATATTTGAGTTCATTCAATATCATCACCCTAGCAGAAATTTACTGAATAACTTTCCATTTGCTACTTACTATTTACTAGTCAAAATCCAAGTTCAAATCTTCGCCAAAGACCCGCATTTTCACTTGCAAATTGACTAGTCAATTCGCTTACAATTTTACTAGTGATTTACTAGCAAATTTTTAAAAAAATTAAATGAATATAACCGTTGATTTCCACGTGTTCTTTTGATTTTTTTTATTTGTGTAAATTTTTGTAAAAGTATTAGTGTGTTCTTATTTAAAGTTAATTAAAGTACACTAACACTATGAAAAAAAAATAAAAGACTTAATTTAATTAAGTCGAATACTGATGAACACCCATGACTCGCACGCAAACCTGAGGAAGATAAATAATTATATGAAAGTCACATACAAATTTGGATCGAACTTATAAAGGTGATTTCTGCGCGCTCTTGTGAAGTATATGCCAAATGCCAAATTTAGAACAAAATTTTTTATGACGCAAAAAATTCTTTTTTTGATGATTTTTCGTAGGATTCGAACTTAAGTAGACTTGATCAAACATCAATCTCATAATGGTGATTTCTGCGCGCTCTTGTGAAGTATATGGCAAATGCCAAATTTAGAACAAAATTTTTTATGACGCAAAAAATTCTTTTTTTGATGAATTTTCGTAGGATTCGAACTTAAGTAGACTTGATCAAACATCAATCTCACAATGGTGATTTCTGCGCGCTCTTGTGAAGTAAATGGCAAATGCCAAATTTAGAACAAAATTTTTTATGACGCAAAAAATTATTTTTTGATGATTTTTCGTAAGATTCGAACTTAAGTAGACTTGATCAAACATCAATCTCATAATGGTGATTTCTGCGCGCTCTTGTGAAGTATATGGCAAATGCCAAATTTAGAACAAAATTTTTTATGATGCAAAAAATCTTTTTTTGATGATTTTTCGTAGGATTCGAACTTAAGAAGACTTGATCAAACATCAATCTCATAATGGTGATTTCTGCGCGCTCTTGTGAAGTATATGTCAAATGCCAAATTTAGAACAAAATTTTTTATGACGCAAAAAATTATTTTTCTGATGATTTTTCGTAAGATTCGAACTTAAGTAGACTTGATCAAACATCAATCTCATAATGGTGATTTCTGCGCGCTCTTGTGAAGTATATGGCAAATGCCAAATTTAGAACAAAATTTTTTATGACGCTAAAAATTCTTTTTTGATGATTTTTCGTAAGATTCGAACTAAAGCAGACTTGATCAAACATCAATCTCATAATGGTGATTTTTGCGCGCTCTTTTTAAGTATATGGCAAATGGGCAATTCTCCAGATGAGTTGAGTTTTTGAAAAAAGAGCTTTTATAATCCAAAGTCATTTACTGTTTACTTTCAATTTTTTTTTTGTAAATATCTTGTCAATTTCTTTGTTTTGATTGCTTAAAGCAACTTTAAACTGTTAATTACGATTGATTCTTACTGAATCAACAATAATTCAACCATGAAGTGTTAAATTAAGACTAAAATTTGATTTTTATGAAATATTTGCTTTGCATTTTTTTCATGGATTTGCAAAATAAAAGCTTAATTTTTTTACTGTCAGCAAAAAAATCCACCAAAGAATCAAAAATTCTCTTTAAATAGTAATAATTGGAGTTGGATATGATTATGGTTAGATAGATTAGCTCAAAAACTACATTTCTGCATAATCATAATAAAAAATGAGTGTTTACTTTTCTTCAATTTTCGATTCTCCGGATGATTATTCCATTTTTTGCTGACAGTAATTTGCAAAAAAAATTGAAAAAACTTAATTATTGGCTACTTTTAAAGACTTAAATAGATAAAATATAATAGTTTTTGCCATTTTAGATCGATTTAAATGTAAAAGTTATGCTTGGTAATGGAAAATTTCCGAGAAAATTTGATTCTCCGGATGATTTTTTGAAAAACTTATCTGGAGAATTGCCCAAATACCAAATTTAGAACAAAATTTTTTATGACGCAAAAAATTATTTTTTTGATGATTTTTCGTAAGATTCGAACTTAAGTAGACTTGATCAAACATCAATCTCATAATGGTGATTTCTGCGCGCTCTTGTGAAGTATATGGCAAATGCCAAATTTAGAACAAAATTTTTTATGACGCAAAAAATTTTTTTTTTAATGATTTTTCGTAGGATTCGAACTTAAGTAGACTTGATCAAACATCAATCTCATAATGGTGATTTCTGCGCGCTCTTGTGAAGTATATGGCAAATGCCAAATTTAGAACAAAATTTTTTATGACGCAAAAAATTCTTTTTTGATGATTTTTCGTAAGATTCGAACTTAAGTAGACTTGATCAAACATCAATCTCATAATGGTGATTTCTGCGCGCTCTTGTGAAGTATATGGC